ACATGATCAGTAAAGGTGGCTCTACCATGCCCACACTTCAAAGCTCCTGCTCATGTTTTTCTAATGTATGCCTGCTGCGTTATCACCTTTCCCTCGTTGTTCCTCTTCCTCATGTGTTCCTCTGTGAAGAACCATAAGTTAGGAAATATGTAATAAAATGTAATATAAGAGTTGTTCATAACCTAAAAATCAAATTCTAAATTAACTTTGGCGTGCAGCTTTTAATATTTTCATTATTTTTACTTATTCCATTTATTAAAGATCATTTGACTTTCCATTCCAAAATCTTAATGAAGGCTCTTTTTAGCTTTTAAAACTGTCTTTACATGGCAGTAAAGCCTCTGCACTGACACACACACACACACACACTCACTCATACATGCCATATGATCCCGGTGGGGTTTCCTCTGAGCTTGTTTATCTACTATCTTCAGTAGCATTGGACACTAATGGCTCTCTGTGAAAGAGCATCCTCCTGATGTGTCACCAGTGGCACCTCCGAACACTTTCATCTCCTGTCCCTGAATGCCTCGTTAGCTGTAATCCCACTTAATCTCACTGCTCCGCGGTGTTGCTAAGGAACAGGCCTAATCTGAAGTCTTCAATTGCTGCCAAACTCAGTGTGTTTGTCAAACGATGCTGTTTAGCTTTGACGAAGTAACAGATTATCCTCCTTCACTGCATGCAGGCCTGTGTGTGTAGGTTAGGACTCTGAGGTGCACTGAGTACGTGATCTCTTGACCTGTGTGTCTCACAGCAGGCTGAAGCATGACAGCGCCTTTCTTAAGTAGCCTGTTAGACACCGGGTCAGCCATGTTTGAACCTAATCCATTTTACTCGGTGCATGGGCAATCATTTTAAGGAAAAATGTTTTGCTCTATTAAGATAGCATCTCTGAGCAATGTGTCTGTGGGCAAACATGACTCAATTCACTGATAATGTCTTTGTGGTTTTTTGGTAACTCTGTGTTGACAGTGTAAAAAGGACCATCATGCAGTTTGAATTAACAAAATGATAGCAATACGAAATTATTTCATAAAATGTAGATCTGCAATGTATAGGGCAGGGTTTCCCACACATAGACTTTATGGGGGCGGGCCAGGTATATAGAGAGGCGAAGTCCCTCCCTTTCCGGGGGACCTCCATGGGACCTTATTTTGGAAAAATCATGTATTGAAGTCAATGGAGAGAGATTATCTTTTGATCCCGTTTGAATTGTGCAACGAATTACATATATGATGTTTGTCAATTTAAAAGATAATTTTGCAAGTCAAAACAATAAAAATGTGTCGTAAAACTGTGAAGTAACACATTTTTTTTGTGTGAACCACTCAATGAACTACATCTCTGGTCTCGCACACGTCACCAACACCAAGATGGCCGTCACGTTGGCACATTTCACCTCTTTCTTTCAGAATGAAGCAAAAAGTATTACAATTATTACATTACTTTATTATTACATTGCATTTAGCTGTCGCTTTTATCCAAAGCGACTTACAATAAGTACATTCGACCAGGAAGACACAACCTTGAAGAAAACAGAATCATAAGTACATCAGGTTTCATAGAGCCAAACATTTCAAGTGCTACTCAACTGGCTTTAGGTAAGCCAGTCCTTTATTAGTATAAAAGTGCTTTGTTAATAAATCTATCGCTCGAAGTGGAGTCGAAAGAGGTGAAAATCACTACAAGTCTGGGCATGTTGAGAACTGTACATACACACACGGGGAGTTAGTCGGTTCCGTAAGAGCCAGCATGCGGGACCGGCTTTACAAGGTGTTGGTGAGTAACACGAGTGTAATGTGTAAAGTTACGCTACTCTGGGATTTGTAGTCTTTCTAGTTGCGTATTTTCCATAGTCTTATATTTCAACAGTTTTACGACAAACTGTAACTTTTTTGACTTGGAAATTATTTTTTAAGATTGACAAACATCATATGTGTAATTCATGGCACAATTCAAATGGGATCGAAAGATAATCTTTCTCTCCCCATTGATTGATTGATTGATTGAAAAGTTTATTAACAGCTTGTATATTGGGTACAGTACAGCTCAAAACATACAATTGTTAAGGGATGCTGACCAGAGAAAGACTTTCGTCTTGTTTACATCAGGGTCCCCCATTTCCAATTCATCATGTGAATTGAAAATACATTTCAATACATAATTTTTCAGAAATAAGGTCCCATGGGGCGGAAGTAGATGGGCGTGACTTCGCCAAAGTATATTTCGCGACCCATTTAGGTTTCATCTTTATTTATCCGTCCGCGAGGACGACGCCATCTGCGATCGATGAACTAACCCCCCTGTACCTGAGCGCTCTGCTATCGCTAAGTCTGCTGCGAGGCTCCACCGCCTTGGTTAGCGTGCTCCACTAGCGTCAATCATATTTTTTTGGGATCTTAAAACCGCTTTGTCACTGCAACCCGATCTTGCCTCGATTTCTTTCTATAATAGTAACAAGACAATCATTGAAATCTAAAAATGATACTGGAACTGTACTAGTATTTTACATTTTGCTTCAGAAATAACATGTCTTTTTTGAAAAACCTTTTGAAATGTTAACATTAAGAGCTGTTCCACTTTGACATTTTAAAAAGTAAAAAAAATACATGAACCAGCCAAAACTAAAAACTATTTTCCTAAATGATTAATTGCTTATTTAATGTATCCTCGGCAGAAGCCTCCTATAGTGCAGCCCCTTTCTTATACAACTAGAATGACCCATCACTTCCTCCGCTGACAGCTTGGTAGACCTCAGTCTGAGTGCAACACACTGTAGGAGAGTACAGGAAGTGAGACAAACCACCTGCTCGTCGAAGAGGGATCTAACATCATCGCTGTGGTATCTGCTCTTATTTTCCTGTCTTTCTCACTCTGCAACAACAAGGAGCCTCACTCACGCAGCTGAGCAGCTATTGGCAGGGAAGGAATGAGTGTTTTTTTATGGGAGCACTGAGGCCCCATTTGGAAAAAACGGTGCCGCGTTCTCACTTCCTGCTTGGCCTATACCCAACTTTATATTCCCGACACAATACAGCAGAGTGTTGGATAAACACACAGAACGACAAACCAGTTTTTGTGCGGAGTGTCTGCCATTGTGTGATTGTTGTATTTCCTTGAGTTGTAAATAGTGCGTTAGGCTTTTACTCAGAGGATCCAGCCTGTGTGTTTGCCTTGGTTTGATTTGTTAGCTCGCCTGTGTTGATTCATGATGACCTTTTAAACTCGCAGGTTAGCACTGAGCCAACACACATTAAGGGATTATCTACACAAAGAAGGAATTTGATCAGGCTTAAATGGAGAAGCAGTTTGTTTATTGCCTCAGGTCTTCCTGTTTAATGTTCTCGTAGTTGTTTTCTTCTGTACACAGATTTGTTCTGATCATTGACATTAAAGCATAATCTCTGGGTCTGATTTAGCTCTTTTAACACAGCTAAAGGGCGCAGTTTTACTTTATCAAAGCGATAAATCCTCTTCAACAGTTTGACAGCTTTGGTTCCTGCTCGGTTGAAATCACTCAAATACAGGAAGTTCAGTTCTTTCAACATGCAAGTGTCGAAAACATCTAGAACGAGAAATATGAGGGCGTAGTTTCAGGTTGGCTGAGGGAAATACAAATAATAAACAACACACAATGGCAGCTTTAAATGATTGAACTATGACTGAACAAACAGTTAGCTGTGCTATGGTATTACAGAGTAGTATCAGTTCTCCTAAAAACATTTATGACCGCGTTGCTTTCTGTGTAAATCAGGAAATCAGCACATACTTTGCATTTAACAAGCTGCTATGAAAACCTCTCAAAGCTGTGTGTGTGTGTGTGTGTGTGTGTGTGTGTGTGTGTGTGTGTGTGTGTGTGTGTGTGTGTGTGTGTGTGTGTGTGTGTGTGTGTGTGTGTGTGTGTGTGTGTGTGTGTGTGTGTGTGTGTGTGTGTGTGTGTGTGTGTGTGTGTGTGTGTGTGTGTGTGTGTGTGTGTGTGTGTGTGTGTTGTGTGTGTGTGTGTGTGGTGTGTGTGTGTGTGTGTGTGTGTGTGTGTGTGTGTGTGTGTGTGTGTGTGTGTGTGTGTGTGTGTGTGTGTGTGTGTGTGTGTGTGTGTGTGTGTGTGTGTGTGTGTGTGTGTGTGTGTGTGTGTGTGTGTGTGTGTGTGTGTGTGTGTACTACTTTGTTCTCCTCGCATTGCATTTTATGAGCAGCTACGGCACTTGTATGTTCTCTGAGGAATGAAGATGATCTGTGTCATCATGCCGTTCCCTGCTCAGGATCAGCGGCCTCCCTTCTAATCGGCAGTGACTGTGTGTCAGTGCAGCTGGGTGTTTAAGGCACTGCTGTTTATCTCAGATAATCATCAGCTTCCTGTTGACCCCTGACCTCTGCTCTGTGTCACCGCCATGGCCCCAGAGAAAACTGCTCCACAGCCACATGTCCTGACTCTAGTGTCTGATAGTCTAAGAATACACACAAAAAAACCTAACCCTAACTTCTAAAATTCCTCGTCTTTTGCCAAGAATTGAATGATCCCCACAGAGAGTGTGTTTTGCTGTCCCTGTCCTCAAGTGAGCCCGTTATCTGTGCTCTGAGCGATTCACTGCAAGGTCTGGGGAATGTCATCTTTAAATGTGTCGCACTGTGCTGACAGGGTTGTTTCTTGTCCTCTAACCTTTTTGTGTCACTTTTTTTAACTCTAGCACACCATGGCAGAGCAGGAACCCACACCCGAGCAGCTGGAGGCGCTTGCAGCAGCCAATGACGAGCCGGAAAACCCTCTCAACTACAAACCCCCCGCCGCGAAGAGCCTACAGGAGATCCATGAGCTGGACCAGGACGACGAGAGCCTGCGCAAGTACAAGGAGACCCTGCTGGGCAACGTGGCCTGTGTGGCAGGTTAGTGATCGATGTCCAACTCAAATCCAAACGCTCGATTGTCATGTGCACAAAAGCTACCGTGTAGTTTTGGCAATGAACATCTTAAGTCCCAGGCTCCTCCTACACGGCAACACACAACACACTTAATACTCCAGAATAAGAAGAAATGGAAATAAGATACAGAATTAAGTCAACTATATACATTTTAATTGGAGTAAGATAACAACAGAAGGTAAAATGTATTGCTGTACAGTGAAAAAAAGGACTGCGTATTTTCATAATATATAAATAAATATGTGGACTGACAACAGATCTATCCTTCCTAAACATAAGTAGCAGGGTTTTGTCTAAACCGGGTAATGGGTGCTGCGCAGGGGCGGACTGGCCATCTGTGGAATCTGGAGAACCACAGAACGGCCGGTCGTCGAGGGACGTTGAAAAAAATAATTGTTTAACGTCATCATTTAAGTTGCGCTGACGGCCGACAGGGGGCGACAGCGGCCGCTAATGCAGTTGCGTGGTTCTTATCTGTCAAATAATCACACACGAAGAAGAAAAAAGACCGGTCAGAGAGCGGAATACATTGGTGTATCATACGGCAGACAGGTAGAATGAAAAAACATGGATACAAATCAAAGAAAAAGGTGGGGCCGATAAGGCAAGAGGAAAAAAGGTTAAGTCACTCGCAGGTGAAGCATCTAAATGTCGCAAATTGACAGACCTTAGAAGTGCAAGATGATGAAGAGAATGATGAGGGCGCGAGTCTGAGTTCAGATATACAGCCAGCCTGCGTTCATCATGAGGGACAGAGAGTTGAGCTGGTGGAAGAACCAGCTCAACTGGCACATATAAGTGCAGGGCAAGAGGTGGTAAGTACTATAGAGAAGAATATTCAATCTAGTTTCTCCAGTTGGTGTGTGTTGCTCATACAAGGCAAGGCACGTAGCACTTTTCTGTACGCGACAATTCAAAGTGCTTTACAAAACAAATTAAAGACTTTTTAGGAATAAATACAGTAAAAACACATTATATAATGGCATGTTACAACAGGCATTACAAAGCACACAAGCAATACAATAAATAAAACAATTGTTACATGAGAGTAGGTGTAATATCTAATATTAAAAAAAATGATAGATCAAACAAAAGTGTATTTTCAACATGTATTAATTCAGCAGCAGGATGAAGAAACGTTTGTTTTCCCCTTCGCTCTAATGCATTATTTTCGCTGGAAAGTGCCGGGGCCGTAATTTTGACCGCTAGTGCCCTCATACTAAATGTTTCTAGACAAACCCCCGAGTAGGTGTAAATATGTGATGTTTGCCCTGCTTGTCTTTTCATCACATTTGGCAGTTTTTATTATATCTGGCGCATCCAAATATAATGTATTTTTATTCTTATTTGCAAATGTTACTTATCAATATGCACAATTCAGATCTTTCAGTTGTTTCCCCCGATACAGCCACCTGAGGCAAACCTGAAAATGTACTTTTATGGTAGCATTTGTCTTCAAAGCTGTGTTAGGTGTATCCATAACACTCTCCACAGCAGCTGCTTCTGTGTGTTTGCAGTACCAATAGTGCGGGGAATCCAACCTTCATTATTTGTTGTGACAACAACCCTGCTAACCTGGGGATTGGAAACTGTAGAAGGGATAGTTTAGATTGCTTGAAGGGGGGATTTATGAAGCACTTATTCATAGTCGGTGTATCACTACAGCACCAGGTGGCTGGTTTACCGCTGCCTCCCGTGGTTGGTTTGTTTGTGGTATTGTGTCACTTAAAGAAGGTGGATCAAAACTAATCATTGACTTGCTTCTCCAAACCGAAATCTACTGTAGGTAAACACACTGATTCTAGATAAGCACCATACAACCACACTTTAAACAATCCAGACTATCTCTTTGAAAGTAGACCAAATAATGGAACGGATTCATACCTGTGCTATTATATATATATAAGAGTACACTTTTATTCAGACAGACATTTGGTCAAGGTTCATTCATTTGAGTACTGTGGCTGTTGTTAAACCAAAAGAAAATCCACTCCAAATTGGTCTTACTTTCTTCATACAACATGATGTTCGGTGTGGATCAGTTACTCAGTATCGGTATCTTGCTAAATTAGCTTTTGGGTCGAGTAGATTATCCTTTTAATAAGAAAAAAACACTATAAAATGAGTGAATTTGAACATCAACGCGGTTTTCTAGATTAGTATTTCAGAAGGTTTCAGAGTTGCAAAAAGTGTATTTAGTTAAAGGAATGTCTTTTCACCTCCACTGTTACTATGATTGTAGCAGTGGGAGAGTAAGGACAAGGCCGAGAGGAGGAAAGAACTTCAGTGTTTTGTTGCTAGAAGCGAATGTACAGATATAATGTGTTCACATATTTAAAACTATTGTAAATTCTCCCTTGTGTGTTAATTACTATATTTATGAAACTGGCATTACCTATTCAATGTTTGAAAGCAAAACAACTGGAATAAAGAAGGGTGAAGTGAGCAAGATACTTCTGTTTTTAAAACAATGTGAATGTCTCTGTATGATCATAATGTTGGATACTTGTCTCTCTCTCAGACCCCACGGCCCCCAACGTGCAGGTGATAGGGATGACTCTGAAGTGTGAAACGGCCCCTCACCCTCTGGTGCTCGACCTGACGGGTGAGTACAGCAGACAGAAAACACATCATTGTTGTCTGTTTTCTGAATGGACAGCAGCGAGTAGTATCTCATAGTAACATTACTTATGGAGAGTAATCACTCCCATCTTCGTGTGCCGATATAGACCAAATGACCTGCTGGGTCATTACTCTACTAATTAGTAATGACGTGATTCCTGGGTAAGTGGGTTAATGAGCCATTTGGTGCTCCTGCCAGTCCTCATAATGAACCACAGCAGAGCCAGGGTCACTGCGCCCCCTGCTGGTCACTGGTGTTACTGCAGGGGGCTGAAAATCACAATACAACTCCACTTTGCTTTTGAAAATTAAATTCCCTTTTCTATAGGTACAAAATAAATCATAACAATCCCACTTTTTTTTATCAAATCCAATGTTATTTATGTAGCCCAATGTCACAAAACACGTTTGTCTCAGTACAGATAAACAAATGGCAGTGCTCAAAGGAGAATATAATAAAAGGACAACATAGAATGTAAAATAAAACGTGTTTCTTTAACGTGTTTATTAGAAGCAGCATATAGTTGAGTTTGGCGACTAGGCTCGGGCCTCATCACTCCACAGATATACATAGCACGATGAGTGATGATTAAATAACTAACCCCCGAGCCTACAGGTGGAAGCTGGGGTGGTGGTGGGGCAGCAAGCAGTAGCGACGTGGAAGTAGCTGCAGCAATAGCAGCAGCAAGCAATGCATGGAGAGAGATCTGGCAGGTTAAATAGAGCGGCATATTAAGGAGACTCTGTTTGGTTGGTTGTAGAGTGGCAAGGGGGCGTTATGTATGAATGCAGCATAAGTGCTCGAGTTGACTGCCTGAACTAGCTCGCAGGCTTCGCCCCATAATTGGATAAAAAAAAACAATAGAACAACCAGCTCTAACTATAGGCTTTAGGAAAGTCTTCAGCACACCCTTAAATAGTTATGTTATATCTTTGTGAGTTCAATCCTAATCATAAACCCCCTCTTTTTTGTAACCTTTTTGTATGTTTTAGACTGTAAAAGCATGTTGTGCCAAACTGATCCTTAGTTATATATCTCGACACTGAAATGGTACATTTACTTTTTTTAAATAGCGCCTTTCCAGTCTTTGCGACCACTCAAAGCACTTGCATACAAGTCAGCATTCACTGATTCCTGGCTGCTATGTCGCTAAGCTGGTACTGTGGGACGGATAAAGGTATTCTGATACCAACACATTCATGCAGAGGCTGCCATACAAAGTGCTCAGGGAAAGTAACATATACACACACACACACTCTCACACCGTTGGCCATCGGGAGCAACTTGGTGATAAGCATCTTGCCCAAGGACATAACGACATGTTGATTGCAGGGCTGGGGATCGAAGCAGAGTCCAGGTGGTGGATGAGCACTCAACGCTCTGAGACACAGCTTCGCTCCACCGTTTGACCTTTCTGTTTGTGTTGTTTTCCCTTTTTAGGAGACCTGACTAAATTCAAGAAGAGCCCATTTGTTCTGAAGGAAGGGGTGGAATATAGAATACAGATCAACTTCAAGGTGAGGGGCTCTGACACAACAAACGGAGAGGAATCCAAACTGTTGCAGTAACGTAGCAGTATTGGTGTTATGAAGCCATCTTTCTTATGAAGCCATCTTTCTTATGAAGCCATCTTTCTTATGAAGCCTTCTTTCTTATGAAGCCATCTTTCTTATGAAGCCATCTTTCTGATGAAGCGTTCGTGTTGAGCAGGATGTGACGAGTGTCTCCTTTCCAGGTCAACAAGGATATTGTGTCCGGCATGAAGTACACTCAGCAGTCATTCCGGGGAGGAATTAAGGGTAAGAACACCTCATTTTATTTAACAGCTGTAAATCCTCAAGTATATTGCAAATTAAAATCTTATCTAAAACAGCACCAAGACTTAAAGGATCAATTCAACATTTTAAGGAAATGCTATTATTTGTTTCCTTTTTATGACTTTAATGACGAGATCGGGTCATTCATCATTGAAGGCATTAGATGAAATATAAAGCTTAACCCAGCAGCCGGTTAGTTTAGCTTCAAGCCTATTCGACCACAATTACAGATTTCATTTGTACAACCCGAGGTTAAAAAGCATCCAAAGGAACTGTCTTTCTTGTTGGAATAACTGTATGTGTTTAGTTTGTGGAGATGAAGGCTTCAAGTAGCATTTCTCTTGTTGATTCATCTGCAGATTATCTTTTGAATCAAGAGGAATGTACCTTTTGGTCTAGGAAATGTCAACAAATAGTGGGAAAATGCCTCCCTAGGTGAAATGTTTGACTTGTCGCTCCAAAACCCAGAGATGTTTTGAGTTTACTACAGAGAAAATTACTAAGTCTTTACTGTAATATTTAAAATTAAAATTGTAAAAGTCTAAATTGCAAGCTTCTTTTTTTTTTTAACCCTAAATAGGTTTTTTTCCTCGGTTCCCAAGAGGATAAAACATTTTAAAGTTACTTAAACGATCAATCCATTTCCAAATATTAGCAGGTTTCTTCAGTCTACTAATTGTGCAGCTCTAGTGCAGATTGTTTGCTTTACTTATTCTCTGTAAAGGTGTAAAATCAGTATACACGTTCTGTTTAATGGTCTAACTGAGGCTTCGTTTAAGAAATGTGTTGAAACCCTTTTTTCTTACTCTCTCCGATGTGCAGTTGAGAAGTCTGACTACATGGTGGGCAGCTATGGCCCGAGACCCTCTGAGGAGTACACGTACGTCACCCCCATGGAGGACGCCCCCAAAGGGATGATCGCCCGCGGCACATACACCATCAAGTCCAAGTTCACCGACGACGACAAGCACGACCACCTCTCCTGGGAGTGGTGCATCGCGATCAAGAAAGACTGGACCGAATGATTCGCCATCCACGTCTTCCTCCGCTTGGTCCCTCTTTCCTTTCTTGCTGTCATTCCATTTTATCTGTCTGTTACGTGTTGATTTGAGATGTCGCTCTCTCCGTCCATCGACATCCCCCCCCCCCCCACCTGTCTGCTAAACTATACAAGTGGAGAAAGCAAACGATGTGCACGATCCAGATTTCTCAGTTTGTTTATAAAAGAAAAAATTAAGTAAAAAAAGATAGTCTTGTTAACTGCTGAAAGTGACCCCCCCCCCCTGTACCCTCTCTTTCATTCTTATCTACGACCAGATTGTTTTTTTTCTACGAATACCGTGATCTGCCTTGAATAGCATCGTACAGGAAGCAGTAGAGCTGTATTTGAGAAGCTGGAAACCACTCTTGGACCTCCTAAAGCCTCTGAGCAGATTATTCATATCAGGGTCCCACTAAATTATTTGGGATTCAGGCCACCTCTTTTTCAAATGATTTAGTCTGAAACTAATTGACCTCTGAGCCGCTGTGACCCTCGCTGTAGGTCTTCCTCTCCTGATCAGGGTATATTGTCAGTTCTTTTTAGCAGCCATGTGGCCTTAACATAACCCATTGGAAGAAATAGACTACCTAAATGAGCCATTTGCCTTCTGATATATACATAATGTGACATAATGTGATACATCCTAACGCCACATGGACAGGGAATTTAGCAACTTTTAATTCAGGTATGACGATTTGTAAAAAGCCATTGTGTTGGCGTCCATCATGTTAGCTTGATTTACAAACATCCTTTTCTTGACAGTGTTGAATTAACTTTTTTTTTTCGATCATTGACAACAGCTGTAAGGATGAGTCCAGGTTGTACTAATGGCTTTTTGTCACCCAGTGTCCTTTTCTAGTCCCGTAGGCCATATTTTTCCAACATGTCCAAGGACTGTAAAACCACTCATCCTGTATTACTCGAGTTTAAAATGACCACCGCTGACTGTGCCTCTTTTACAACCACATGCTGCTCCTGCTGACGACGGCACTCTGTGCTCGACATCAGGGAGGTGCTAAACGCTGTCTTTAATTGACTTCTGAACCAGTGTAGAGACATCAGTCCCCAACCAGACATATATAAAGTGTTATTCCTTTTTTTTATACACTCCAGAAGTATGGAAATGAAGTCTGTATCCACTGCTTCGTTAGGCGCTTGTGTCACAGACTGATGTTTGTCTCTGTAGGTTGGGTTTTACTCAATGTGTGATTCTTGTATTACCTACAGTTTACTGATATCCTGTGTTCACATTAAAGTGTTCAGACTGGGCCTACATGTGTCCTGTTTTATTCAACCTGCACTAGGATGTGTTCATTTCATTTCAAACCTTTATTTATACAGATAAATCCCATTGAGATCATTGATCTCTTTTCCAAGGGAGACCTGCTACCTGTGTTGTCTCTCTAAACACTTAAAGGGGGCTTTTTATGCTTATTTCAGGTTCATATTTGTATTGTGTCTAATGTGATATGTGAACATGCTTTAAAGGTCCCATATCATGGCCATTTCTACTGATCTTAATTCCATTGTTGAGGTCTACTAGAATACATTTATATTGTGCAATTTTCCAAACTCACATTGGTTTCTCATTCAGCATCTCTGTACAGTATGTGTATTCACTCTCTGTCCTAAACGGCTTGTTGGAGCTCCTGCCCCCCCCCTCCCTGTGAGCCCAGTGTGCTCTGATTGGTCGGGACGATGCGAGGCTCGCTGCTCAGTGAGCTGGCTTACTGGTGTGGTTTCCGGGTCAGCGAGACAGCGCGAGACAGTGCGAAACTCATCCTGAGCACACTCACAGCCGAAGTAAAAACAATAAGCGTGGCTTGATATTGAGTAAGAAAAAGGTTGATAAACTCTGTGAGAATGGGTCTGCGGAGAGCATTTCTCCGCGGTCCCAATTAGTCTATTACCAAGCAGGGAGCTCTATGCAAGTCAATGGGACTCCCTGTTAGTTGAAAATGTATGCTAAAGGACCCCCCACTGCGTTTGATAGTGATGCCAAGGGATCCTGGTGTGTGAGGAGCTCCGGATTGGTCCATTTTGGTTCCGGGAACCGCATGACGAGAAATCTCCAACGAAGCGTTCTGGGGCAGCAGACAGGTCTTTTCTGTGTTAGAGTTTTACTCGCTACAGGGTGTACTTTGAGGGTTTGTGACTGCAGACCGGTTACATGCAGAAAAAGCTACATAACAAGGGGACGGGTAATAACCAGAAAAGCATATGATGGGACCTTTAATGTTCAAAACAGCTCTGGCCGGCTCTGTTGTGATTGGTCAACCACTTAAGAGATGTCCTGCCCCTTGGCCTATCATATACAATGTGTTGGAGCACTAGCCAATAGTGTTACATAGTGATGTCACTATATTACAGAAGTAAACAAGAGTCCAATGGAGGCGTTTCAGGCAGGGGGGGAGAGTGTGGGAGAGAAACTCCCTCTTGAGGGAACTTTGGGATTGTAGCTTTTGCAGAGCATTTACATGCACACAAACCTGCTATAACATACTACAGGAAAGGCAGTAAAACAAACACAATAGAGCGTCTTTAACAGAAAAAAGACAATGGATGATACGTTTCTTATTTTAATCAACAGAAAACATTTTAAATGGCAATGTAGTAGTATGGCGTAGAACTGATAATGTTGTCATGTCAAACGAATCCCTGCTGTTCGTAATGCATGCTGTAAAAACACCAGAGGCATCTCATCTCATTCACCAGATAAGTTGAACTAAACCATGAAAGTAAACATATGTAACACGTATGCACAGTACACTTTGGCAGCTGAAGGATTTAACCAACAAATTCAAACACACTGTTGCGCCTTTATGCGACCTCAAGCTGATCAGTAGCGTGTGGTTTGTTTCCTCCTGCTTTAAAAGACTTATTAAGCACTTAGTGTTTATTAGACAGGTGCATGCTTTAAATGCTGTAAGTAGTTTCAAAGCCAGCTTGTTTCTCTTTTTATATTATTTGGCTTAATTGGTTTCCATAAATAAAAAATAGAAGTTAAATAATTCCTGCATCAACACATCTCAATCACAAACTACATCACTCACTAATCTCCTGATTATTCTTCAGTTAAGGTCACTGAGAAAAAGGCATTTCATCAACGATCTTCCTTCATGTCGAGACATTTGGCAGTTTCAGTTAAATCAGCCATTCACCCTAACAATAAGCATTACCCAACCAATGAGTGCAGGTATTCACCCTTTAAGTCACTGGTGGTCAAACGTAAGACAAGAAGTCCTGAAAACAGGAGTCACAGTTTTCATCTCATTTGTGACCCTTTTTGCTCTTGGAGTTCACGTCACTCTTGGTCTTCTGCAGGCGGTTGAAGATCTCTTTGAACAGCGCCTTGTACTCGGGGGTGTTCTGGCTGAGGCGTTTGTCCACCTGCTCCACCTGCCGGCTGATCCCCTCCAGGGCCTCCGGGGTGGAGGGGGTTTGAGGCGGCGTGGGCATGGCGGCGACAGCCCCTGATGTGGACGGCCCGGCGCTCACCATGCTGTAGTCCTTCATGGAGGGGTCTCTGGACACGGGCCTGGAGGTCTGCACCCCCGCGTGGCACAGGCTCTCCTCGTGGCGCCGGCACTTCCCCAGCAGCTCCTCGTACTTCTCCAGCAGCGCGTGGTACTGCTCGTCCACCTCGCGCAGGATGGACATGCCGCGTTTCCGCACGCCGTTAGCATGTGTGGCGTAGCTGCCCTGCCTCCTGCCCGAAGCGTCCCGGGCGGAGATGGCGTTCAGAGCCGTGTCGCTGCAGCTCTTCCTCACCGGGCCCCCCTGCTGCCCCGAGCCCCCTGCCTCTCCCCCGCCCCCCTCCTCCTGCCCCACGCCCTCCTCCGGGGTGTCTGTCTCAGGGCCGTTGCTGAGCAGCGTCTCCAGGCTGTCCTCCATCCCTCCAATCAGACACACCCTGGACTTCCGGAGCTGCTGCATCTCCTGCAGCTCCGCCTCCAGCTCCTGGACCCTCAGCTGGCAGCCCTCCGCTCCCAGGAGACGCTGCTCCAGACGCTCGAACTCCTGCAGCACGGAGGCACACTCCTGCTCCGTGCCCTCCCGCTGGGACCGCTCTGCAGAGACAGCTGAGCGTAGGGAGGACACGATGTCTCTGAGTCTCTCGTTCTCCTCGTCCAGCGGTCGGCTCTCCGCCAGGTCCACACTGCCCGGGTTAGCCAGCAGGAAACCATCCTCATACCTGAGAACAAGTGTTGACGTTTTAACAATAATACTCCACAAGGTCACAATCATACATTTGTTCTAGTTGTTAAGAATTATTTAAAGACCACATGAACCCAAATTAAACAATCGCATACTAATGGGTGTTCGCATAACTTTTAAAACAAAATGTGTCCTATTTCTTCTTCTGAAACAGTATGGAGCTCAAATGCTTCTTCTCTTGCGGGTTTACCACAAAGTGAGTTCCTTTTTTTATTTCCTGCTTTTTTTTTTTACACATACTCTCTCCAGTACAGGTTAGCTCTGAGTGTTAGCGATGCTTGCTAATGTAAACACAGACCATATTACGTCAGGCATTGTTTCTGATAGGGCCGTGGGTGTAAAGCCAGCCCACATTTCCAATATGACGTCATATCGGCAGCAAATCTGGATCTGCTCCGTTGTACCCCCGTTTTTGGAGGAAAAGAGAGAGGGTTTTGTTTTCTGACACTTTGTACATTTCCTGACACACCGGGGACACATTTATGTATAAAAGTGCATTTAGCATGATAGGAGACCTTTAAGTGCATTAAATCATCTCAATTCCAAAAGTCAGAAACAACTGTTACTGCCACTCTGCAGTCAGTTACTGAAAATGAATATAATGTTACTTTTTTATTTGATGGAGTGTCACATTTTAGAGTCACATTTCAAGTAAATATGTTACGATTGTGTCACATGACTGTATAATAAACTGTAATTGTCTTGTGAGTAAATCATCCCATCATTGAGTGACTTTGCTTAAACCACCGGGTTTCCTGCCGAATAATCTGTTTATCTGTGTTTCTTGCAGCAAGTATTTGCAACACACTTGTAAAATACATCTGTTTGAATAAAGTGTATGGCCTATTCGTTGATGCATACTGTCCAATAGAAAATAAACCCAGTGCAATAAGTGACCTTGGTGCAGTGCAGAGTTCCTTGAGGCAGGGGAAGGAGTGCACAGTCTTGCGGCGCTCCTTCTTCTCTCTGCGGACCCTCAGCTCCTCCAGGGTCCGCAGCTCCTCCACCCGAGTGGTCAGGTTCTCCACCTGACCGTGCAGCATCTCCATGGTGCCCGTCAACCTGCAAACACACGCATGTTTGTTTAGTGCTTGTCATAATCAAGGTGACTTAATTCTCTCTTTCTGAGCATACCGTTCTCCTAAAGCTGCAGTGAGTTGTGACCACATAGAGAATGTGAAGGAGCTTGTTCAGAGAGAACAGAGGCAGCCATTGAAGTCTTTAGCATTGAGACCACTAATGTGATTTGTAAAGAACTTCCATCCCAGATTATGATTATGAAGTTGCTAAGGATAGCAAAAATGTAAATCCTCTTTAGTTGCTCTAGTAGTGGAGGCCTGTAAACACACACTTGGTGTTCCTTCAGCAAACATGGAGCAGTGTTTACTACAACGTATTATGATGTATTTTCAATTAGCAATATATTAATATTATAATGATATCCTGATATGAGACCAAATATATTCCTACATTTGATAAATGATTGTGTGCCACATGTATTACCTTTTCCTGGTTTATAGGATGCATTACAGTGAAGTGATGACATATCATTAATTTTTTTAATTCAGTAATTTTCTCCAAACTACTGGTGATTATCAAAGATCTCATATTTTATGAAAGCACCCATAATGAGCCCATCTTGGCACTATTGATATTGAGGTATTTGGTAAAACACATTGAGATATTTGTTATACTCCATATTGCCCAACTTTAATAATAATGTCCTTCAGTTGGTTCATGCTTGTTTGGCTTCAAAACGTCCCTTTAAAAGCCTGTGATGTGATGATGACTCGGGTGATATGTGACATGGCTCTTGTTACGAACATGTTTTTGTATACTGTGTGTTCTCACCTGTCTATTTTCTGATGCGAGGTCTTGCTCTCCAGCACCAGCTTCTCGTTGGTGATTTCCAGCTCTCTGGCCGTCACATCCAGCTGTTCGTACACCTTGGCGTGCTGCTCGTTCATCTCCCGCAGCGTTTCCAGCTGCTTCGACAGGTACTGCAAGGAGGCAAGGTCAAAAGTAACAGATTCATTACTAAATTCATATTT